AAAATTGCCTTCGCTTGTCATTTTTATTAGTTGTAACTCTGTGCTAATGATGGCGCCCTTCAATGACGGTGCCGGAAAAATGTTTAAGAATCTAACAAGTCGACGAGGTCGAATCAACATTATAAAGCCAAAGGAGATTACGACTATATCTTTGTAATACTCAGTTCGGATTAAAGATCATATTGAATCTTCTTTAAAATGATGTAATATTATAATCTATTTCTTCTAATTTATTTTAAAGCTTCCATGTGCTAGCTAAAAAGCTATAAAATATTGCAAGCATTGTGTTATTTTTTAAAGTAATTATACCAAAAAAAGACAGTTGACAATATAGTGAAGAAACCTTTCATATTTTTTACCAAAGGAACTTGCCTGTTGCTTGCCTGGCTCAGTAGTCGGAGTTGTGGAAGTGGAGGATGAAGAAGCATTAGAATCCAAAGCCATTTGCATATTTTGTTGTTGTTGCTGCTGTTGTCGATTCTGCGAATGTTGCAAATTTAGACCAACTCCAATAGCCGGAGACATGGAGCCAGCCAAGTCACCTGATGAGCTGCTGGTTGCTGGGCCTACAGAACCAAGGGACATTTGCCCGGTGAACGAGTTAACTATAGGAGTTCCACTGGAAGCGGAAGCAAGAAGGAAGTCAACACCGATTCCACCGCCGAAATCATCCATCATATCGCCGCCGTAGATGCCGCCAGTGCCGACAATGGGACTGGCACGCAGGGAAGTGGTTGCTGAAGCCGCCTAATAAATGGAAAGAATTCTTAATATTAGAGACTATAACGTCTCAATGGTTAGATAATCACTGGCCAAAAAATCTGAACTTTAGAGCTTAAGGGCAAAAATTATTTAATGGGAACTCATATATTAGCGCACTTCGCTTGGAGTAGCCGAGCCTCTGGACCGACAAACAGGACAAATATATGAGTTAGAGGCATGACCAGTAAAGGTGGTGTCCTCTCCTGAAATAATGTATAATGGTGAAGTCAAACTCTGACCACAAGGGTCACAGTCAACATGA